CCCTTGCTGATGAGTAGCTTCTGACTTTGGTTCTTCTGAGTTTGCTGAAGCCAGATGCCATTCCTGAGAAGGAAAAAGATGGAAAGAAACAATTTAAAAAATTTTTTGCTTTTTGGGAACACAGAACTATTAAGTATTGTTCCTTCTCAACTTCTCTCAGGGCTATTTGGTGGTGCTGGAGTTGGCAAGACAGTACTGATCATGGAGTTAATCAACAATGTTGCCAAAGCCCATGGTGGTTACTCTGTGTTTGCTGGTGTTGGTGAGAGGACCCGTGAGGGCAATGACTTGTACCATGAAATGATTGAGTCTGGTGTTATCAACTTAAAAGATGCTACCTCCAAGGTGAGACTTGAGCTGATAGATGGCCACGTGGTAGTTGTGTCAAGAAGCTGAAGCCATGTGTTAACGTTTTCATCTTAGTGTCCCAGGACCCATAAAGGATGTGTTTCTGTCAGTGTTTTCCTCCTATCTTTATATATTATAGACAAATGTGTATTTTTTCCTCTTTAACTTTAGATTACATTTCCAGGCTTTTTGTACAGTCCCATCATTTAAAAGCTAATTTGGGGTGAGGTGAGGTAGCTCATACGTCTCAGATAACCCTGTTTTGTACCTTTCACATACTTAACAGTTTATTTACTTTGGGCTTTAGGAATTTTGCCTCAATAATGTAAGAAATTGTCTTTTGTGTTTTGAGCTACATATCTGAGAAAAATGCAAACAAAAACATTTATACTTTCTAAGGAGGGTTTTTGGTAATTTCTCTGATTTGGAGGCCTTTGGTATGTTCCTCTGCCGTATCTTCTAGTTGTGTATGATTACTGCAGGTAGCACTGGTTTATGGTCAAATGAATGAACCCCCTGGTGCTCGTGCTCGGGTAGCTCTAACTGGACTGACTGTGGCCGAATACTTTAGAGACCAAGAAGGTCAAGATGTGCTGCTGTTCATTGACAACATCTTTCGCTTCACCCAGGCTGGCTCAGAGGTAAGCAGGCATGAGAGGATCTGGTTCATTTGAACTTCCTGTGGAATGATGCAGATGAAGCTAAAGATGTAGACACTAAAGACCTTCTGTTTTTTTCTTTTTTAGGTATCTGCTTTATTGGGCAGAATCCCTTCTGCTGTGGGCTATCAGCCTACCCTGGCCACTGACATGGGTACCATGCAGGAAAGAATTACCACCACCAAGAAGGGATCTATCACCTCTGTACAGGTAAGAAATATTCAGTGGGGGAAGTTTGTGTGAAAGCGTGTACAGAGAAGTATAAAATCTAGTACTTATATCTCAAAGGGCTTTTTTACACCAGGTTCATGAGCTCCCTGAAATAATGTGTAAAATTCTTCTGTGTGTGCATGTTAAAGACGCTAAAAAGTTAAGAAACATGCACTTCAAGTTATTGAAGATACACATGTAAATGTAGATCCAGCTTGAGGGAGAATCTGTAGCTGCAGTGAAACTGAGCATTAAGTATGTATTGAATTCTAACGCTACAAATTTTCAAATATATATAGATACTATATGTAGTAAAATTATCTAAAAAACATTAAATTGTAGTAACCTTTATGGTTCATTGCCTAGTGAACTATTTCAGTGGTGCAGGGTGGTTTTTTTACTCTTAAAGTGGGTATCACTGCAGTAGAGTTAAAATGTAGGATGAGAAACAAAATAATGACAATGAATATTTTTTCATCACAGTTCGGAGAGACCAGATAATCTGTAAGCTCACTCAGCAGCTATTAGGGTTGGTAAGAAGGCTCTTTTGAGGTAGTACTAATGCTAAGAAGATGGAGTGAGATGGTAGAGGTTAGAACTGATGGCTTTGGTAAGATTATTGGGCTTCCTGCTGCTCTTCATGGGTTCTTAACTCATTGTAGGCCATCTATGTGCCTGCTGACGACTTGACTGACCCCGCCCCTGCCACCACCTTTGCCCATTTGGATGCCACCACTGTACTGTCCCGGGCTATTGCTGAGCTGGGCATTTACCCGGCTGTGGATCCTTTAGACTCCACCTCTCGCATCATGGATCCCAACATTGTTGGCAGTGAGCATTATGATGTTGCCCGTGGGGTGCAAAAGATACTACAGGTGAGTATTTTTTGCAGGTGAGATCCATGACCATACAGTCATACAGAGGGAATTTGAGGACTATTAGGACCAGATCTTTCCTGGTCCTGATGTATTCTTGTGTGATTTGCTTTTGAGCAAGGAAAGATAAGACCAGTTGTTTCTAGTATGTTAATGAGCTGTACTTAGTCTTTAGAATCCAGTTTTTTTCCTAATAGCAGACTTGGAGTAGGGAGGACAAGACACTGATCTTGTTGAGGGCCTTTATGACCCCGAGTGTGTAACTTCACTAACTTAGTCCACTTAAGATGTGATGTAAGGTGCTAAAATTTAGCTTTTTACAAGGCTCAGTATGAATGTAAGGTGGTGAGGTTTTTGTCCAAATGAATGAGAATTTTTAATTGGGCCTCTCTTGTTTTCTCAAAGGACTATAAATCCCTCCAGGACATCATTGCCATCTTGGGTATGGATGAACTTTCTGAGGAAGACAAGTTGACTGTGTCTCGAGCACGGAAAATACAGCGTTTCTTATCTCAGCCATTCCAGGTTGCTGAGGTCTTCACAGGTCACCTGGGAAAGCTGGTACCGCTGAAGGAGACTATTAGAGGATTCCAGCAGATTTTGACAGGTGAGATTTTGAGTGTCAAGCTGAACATAAAATGGGGTAAAGACTTGAAATCTTCTTGAAGCATTGTTATGCTATGTTCCTATCCTGGCAACCATCATGCATTATGTAAGTATGTTGTGTCTAGTTACATAATTTTTAAATTAAAAGAAAAAAACAGTATTTCCCATCAATTTTCTTTGGAAATACTCTGTATTTACTTGTTAGAGTGAGACTTCCATTAGTTTTTATGTCATCCAACAGTTAGTGCTTTCAGTCTAGCTATTCCGCTAAGTGAATTACAATATTATAATGTGTTACTACCCTGTTTCATAAATTAGAAAACCGAAAGCACAGAAAACTTGAAAATAACCTGTTCCAGTATAACACAAAGTAGAGAACCTGGGTTATGTAGCCCGAACCATTTATTCTTAATCCATACTGTATCATGTCTTACATAAACTGGATTTGTGAGTGAAGTTTGTTCAGAAAAGACTTCTTAGGTGAAATGAACCATCACTGTGGCCTCCAGTGGTTGAGATGTGTACACATTGCAGAAAGTTGATGTCCTACCACTTAACTTACCAGTTGGATTTTTTTTCCATAAAGGTGAATATGACCACCTCCCAGAACAGGCCTTCTATATGGTGGGACCCATTGAAGAAGCTGTGGCAAAAGCTGATAAGCTGGCTGAAGAGCATTCATGAGGGGTCCTTTTCGTAAACTAAGCACTCATCCTTTCTGCTGGCCGCCACCTTGCCCTGAATCCAAAAATCCGTTTTCTCTTGGCCACAGGAGAGTCTTGATTGAAGACATTGTGCTCTGTATGAAGAGTATTTAGGGCTTCCAATAAAATGTACATCCCTCAGAATCAGTCTGTTTTCCTTGGTCCTGAAAACGTAGCCAACACTGGAGTTCTAACAACGTTTAAGAGCGGCTGCAGGAAACAGCACAAAGGAGGCCATGTGTGTTTGAAATGGGGCCACTAAAAGCCATTGTTTTGGATTGATGGACACCTGTGGGGCTTGTGTGGGTTTCCTGTGGATGATGTGATCTTAACAGGGTCTAAGCTTTGGCCCTTTTATGTCATTTGTTCACAGCAAATTGAAATTTTGCCTCAAATGTTCTATGTAACATATTCCTATTTGGTTATAAAGCAAATGGATGCTTTTAGAAGCATATTGGGAAAATGGGTTGGGTTTAAAATAACTGCTAAGATAAGGCGGGGGTAATGTGAATTAAATTTTTAGGAAATGGTGGTGCATGTTCTGAAGGATTCTGATCTATCAGAAGGCCCTGTCTTCCTATGCCTCCATAGTTTTTCAGAAAGTGCACCTAACTTGTGCCTCCTGACATATTTTGGACAAGCCTAGAGTTGTGATTTCTTTGAGGTCATGCAGGGTATAAGATACCAAGAGGCCAATCGTTAGGAGTACTCGGAGCTACACCCACCTTTTCAGTTTGCGGAAGTGCCTCTTAACAGTTAAGGTTTGGGCCTCCATAAGTATATTCTGATCCCAGGCCCATCTACTGCCCTCTGATGGTAGACTGGAAACTGCAGCAACTAATCATTTTGAAGTCCTTAAAGGCCATTCGCGGGCATGTGATTCTCATCTAATGACTATACAAATCAGCTGGGGCTTTTGTCCAGAGGAGGAGCCTGCACCTATAAGCTCCACCCGAGAAGCTCAAGTTGGGTAGAAACGGCGGAAACAAACATCCCCATTCAGAGGCCCCTGGAGGCTGGAGGGTGGGGACGGGCTTTGGGAGAAGTGCCAGGGGTGAAGTAGGTGCCTGTTTCCTCCTACCTGCCAGTGACGTCCTTAGGACTAGTCTTTCTTGTGTCACGGTCTGGACAGAAGGTGGAAACCCTGAGCTGCGTGCTCCCCGTAGTTTGCTCCCAGAAAAGCCTGGGCTTGGAGAAATGCTGAGTTACGGGGTGGGGGCACTTCCTCCAGGTCCGGACTCTGGAGTGGGTAAGACACTGAAGCAGAAGGCCCCAAGATGTGGGTCAGACCTTTCGGCTTTGTTTTCCTGTGTTACCCAGATGCAGACCTCGGAACTGATCCTTAAGGTCGTTTGTATCCTTTCCCTCCTCCCCCCGCACGTTTACGTCTCAGCACTCGTCCAGAACCTTCTCCCTCTCACTAGCCACAATTACTTATTTTCTTCCCCCTTAAGCCCTCTCCCACCACACCACTGGAGCGTCAACACAGACCTAACCTTCCTCCATATTCCTCCCTGTTCTCGCCGCCTCACTCCCAACCAAGAGAAAGCCCCGCCCTTCCCTCCTCCCTCCCCACCCCAGTCTGTCACACAGGAACATCACCATACAGCAGTTCAGGCTGTGGTTCGCAGGAAGCAGTGGCTTTTTGATTCGTCCTAGTTCCCGGCTCAGCCTGGGAGGATCTAACACCAGCGTTCACGTGAAGGGGGAACCAAGGACTGTGAGGCGCTGGGTGGTCCCCAGCCCTGAAGCCCTGCCAGCCTGACATGGGTACGTGTGAGGACCGTCCCTGGGGAAGGCCTGAGGGATGCCTGCCTCCCTCCAGGCTGACTCAGCAGGGGTGGGGCCTAACCTTTGCTCTTCTTGGAGTGAAGGAGGGGAAAGGGACTGCAGGGGCGCAGGGCTCAGCTGGCGATGCTGCCGGCCAAGGAAGGGATCGTGAGCGTTGGCAAACTTCAGTTCCAAGGAGGAGCCCGAGAGTCTGCACCTCAGGTCGGGGCTCTTCTCACCTCATCTCACCCCTCCTTCCCCAGCCCCTTGCTCCCCCCGATTTAGGCTGCTGAGATCCAAGTAAGATTTTACATGTAAAATTTAATGCTGACCTCCCCTGCAAAAGTAAAGTCCACTTTTGGTCTCGTTGGAGGGTTTTTAAGGTGCCTCTCCTCCCCCTATTTTCTTCCAGGCCTTTTAAGTCCCTGTCTCCTCTCCTCCCCCATCTTGACCCACCACCAGGTGGGGGCTGCACTAAGCAGCTGCTTCCTGTTGCCTCAGAGGTTGCTGCAAGGGTTGGTGGTGGTTGGTAGAAAACTAAGCTAGAGTGAAGCCAATTCTCACGGCCCCACAACAGCCCCCTGAGGGGGTTTCTGTTGGCGGCCCCCCACGCTTCAGTCACTGAGGACACTGGATGAGAGGCAGGATTGAGGTTCAAAGGCCCAGGAAGTCTTTGCCCTCGTGGCTTCCTGATTGCGGAGGCTTTAAACTTGGGGGAAGGAGTCCGTGCCTTTCCACAGTTACAGGGATGGGACCCCTGGGGGCGGAGCGTCAGATCCTAGTCCCGGAGAGCAGAAGCAAGGGAACCTGGTTCACCTAGTAGGGCCGTTGTGCGTTACCCCCAGCAGGCTCGGGCTTGAGTTCCCTTTCCCGCACCCTCACTCCTTTCTCGCTGCCTGCCCGGCCCTCCTTTGTGAAGAGATTTTTGCGGTGCCCCGGGAGCGCGGGCAGAGTTCTCCGTCCTCCAGTTCGGAACCACCACCATCCCCCACTTCACAGCAGAAGTTTTCTCTCTTCCTGGGATCGGTTCTCTCCTCCATCTGGGATCCTTACTGGGTCTGGCTCCTAGGAGACGCCACCCGCTTTCCCTTCCCCCACCGGATTCTTCGCGACCGCCTAGCCGAGTGCTCGGGATTCCGCGGAAGCTCCTGCCCCTTTAAGACTCCCCCTGCTGGCCCGGGTCTGGGGGAGGGGGTGCCGCACCCGCCGCGGCCACCTGCGCCGCCGCCGCCGACCACGGAGCGGCCCTGCTCCAGTGAGGCTCGGCGTCCCCAAGCGTGCCGCCCTGCGAGCCCTTCCGAGGCCGCGGCTGTCTGGGACAAGGTTCTGACCCTCCGCCTCCGGAGCTGCCCTTTCTCTCTCCCCCGCACTACCTACTCGCTGGTTCCTCCCTTGTTCTCTGCAACCGGAATCCAGAGGCTTCTTAAGCCTCTCGGCCGCTCTCCCGGGTACCCCCACCACTCTGGACTCAGGATTCCTCCTCCCCCGCGACTTCCTCGCCAGAAAAGTCTCCGCGGTCTCGGTTTCGCCTCTTCCCCTCTGGAACCACAGCTTTTCCCACGCCATCCTAACCTCCAATGGGAGGGGGAATAACCTCCACCCCAACTGCTGTCCTTCCTGTAGTAAAGGGGGTTGGGGGAGGGGGTTGCATGGACCAGTCACTTTCGGACCGTGTTCTCTTTAACCCTTCAAGTTCAACCAAGTAGCATCTAAAGCTTTTCTGTAGCTCTCACCCACCTCACCTCTCCCGGAGCTGAGGGTCCGACCTCACCTGCCAACCAGCCCAGGTAGGAAAGGCCCTCTTTTTGGGCCTGGGGTTGGCGGGGCTAGGGTAGGAACGCCATTACCCCAGAGTCAGGGGATTGGGGGAGCACCCCTAGAATCTTGTGATTCTGGGCTTAAAGGGCTGTTGGGAGATGTTGGTTGAGGGGCCCTGACAAAATCTCTAAGGCTAGTGGGTGGTGGGGAAGGTGAGGGAAGCCCAGCTTTTTCTATTCAGATGCAAAGGGAGTCCCCACCCCTAAGGAAATAAGGGTTTTCTCAGTCCTTTCTAGAGACCACCCTGGAGAAGTTTATTGGAGAATTTGAAATAGTACTTACTGTGCCTGAATCTGAGGGGGAACATATCAACTTGGAGAGTAAAAGAGGAGGGGTTACGGTCCTTCTGGTGTGTTATAGGAGGATCTTTTGCACAAACCTGGAGAGGGAGGGACCAGTTGGAATGGTTAAAGGGTTGAGGGCCATCTCCCTACTAGACCTCATTAACGCTACGAACCATCAGCCAGTGAGGGGTATAGGGAGTTCTTTAATAATTCTCCCTCCCTCCGAGCCCAACTGTGCCCCTTCTCTGTCTGGCTCTTACGGTTCTCTCATACCCCAACCCCCGACGATGAGGAGACAGGGTGTCTAGATTTGCTTCAGAGTCCTCTGAGTCATGTCCCATGGTCTGGGAGGGCGCTGAGGGGAGGACAAGGGTGGTGTTTGGGGTTGAATTCCAGGCGAATCTGGAGGTGGAGAAAGAGGGAGGTAAAAAGATGCAAGAGAAACCCCTCCTCTCCCCTTTCTCTTTCGCCTCCCTTCTCCAGCCATCTGGCTCCAAATTGTAGCCAGGCACTGTGGCGGCTGACCCCAGTCAGGGCGGTGCGTCAGGAACACTTGGAGGGTGAGAAAGGGGGAGCAGGTGCTAATTTCTCTCTCCCTATTCTCTTCATTACCCGCCCACTGGTCTGGCTTGAGAGAGGTTGAGTAGTCCCTAGGTACCCTTCTCACAGGTTGCTGAAAAAATGACCATTTGCCCTTTCCCCTTTCTAGTAGCTTCCTGAAAGGAGACGGGATGGGTTACTGGCCACAACTGATTGGATTGCGGAATGTTTGGGGACTTGTAGGGTCAGTCTGCCCCCTGTCGTCTGGAGTGGGGGAGAAGCCTAGAGAACCCAGCTGTTGGACATATTGACACCCCACCCTCCTCCTTCCTCAAAGAGCAAGAAGATTCTCCAATCAGATGAGGAGGGGTCTCACTGAAGGAGGAAGGTGAATGTAGTCTTCTTGCACCAGTCTTTTCTAATCCCAGGTGGCCCTCCTATCCAAGGTACCTCTGCCCGACCGCTCCTGGCTCGGATTGCCCGGGCGACAAGGCCTGGGGCTTAGAAGGGGTGGGTGCAGTCCGTGGGGCACAGGAACAACCGGCTCTTCCGAAGCGGGGGGGGGGGGGAAATGTTGGGGGGGAAGGGGCGTGGCATGCCCATCCGGCTGGCTCAGGCCCCTCCCCTGCCTCCGGTCTCCGCAGCCGGCCCAGCGATAGGGCCCAGGTGGTAGGAAGAGTCTCCGTCGTCTTGCCTTGGGAAAAGGGAAGAGAAAAAGGATACCAGCGCTCTCCCGGCCCTTTAGGGAGCCGCTTTCATGTCTTGAGTTCTCTTCTTCACCTGTTTTATTTTTTGTTTGGAAGATTTTGAGGGGGGTGTTTTCCTTAGCAGAAATTTGCTGGATCCCTGCCTTCTCCTGAGTGTGGCCCGTTTACTCAGGGACTTGGCGTTCAGCAGGCTGTTGGGAGTCCTTATTTTTTCTCCATGGCAACTAACTATAAATCTGCTATTTAGGGTAGAAGGGCTTTGAATTTTACCTGTCTACTCCTTCCCCTCTGGTAATCTACTTTTCTCAGGAGAGGGAGAGAAACCCTCCTAACCCTCTTAGCTTCCTCTCTGGCTCACACACTTTGAGGCTTGGCTCGCTCCCTTCTTAGCCTCTCTGAGCCATTTGTAGTAGGGAGTAGTAGAGTCTGTACCCATAAATTTCCTCTGTGGGTTAAGGAAATCCAGTCTAAACTGATGTATTTGGTCCTGCCTTGTCCCCACCCAGTTTTCAGATCTTCCTCCCCAAACCTGGAGAGGAAAATGTATTTGTTCCCCACTCCCCCCAACTCTCACCCCCCAACCCCCTCCCCTGGCAACCTGCCGGAGTTTCCTTATCCCCATTCTGTTCCTCCTCCAGAATATTAAGCGTGAGTTTTGCAGTTTACGCAATTGTTTCTAGAACTGCGTTGCACTGAATTGAATGGGAATTATCATGAAGACTGCAGTCTGTTGAGCTGCAAGGAAAAGAAACCTGGTTCCTAGTCACAGTTTTCCACTGTTTGACCTTGAACAAGTCCGTTAACCATTCTGGGCCTTAATTTCTTCATCTGCCAAACAAGAGAGTGTTGAATAAATAACATTATATAACATAAATAAATTCTGACATTATGAATTCTAACGTCTATATGACGCTATGCCCCATGCTGGGGCCCTAAGATACTTGAGACAATAGCCAAACTAGTCCTCTGCTGGATTTTTCTTTTCCTGTTACCAGAAGGTTTTACATAATAATAATGCCCTGTAGGAAAATGTACTGGAATTATAGGATAGGTGGACATTTGGGGCATGTTATTTGCTGGTCAGTTTTCCCCCTCATCCCCATTCCCTCTGACTAGGTTTAGGGCTAGACTCGTTCTTGCCTGTCTGGTCCCAGAGCTGAGCTTACTTTTCCTACGCACAGGCACCTTCTCCACCCCCAGGGCCATGCAGATGTTGCCCAGAAAGTGTTGATCCAGGCAGGACCAGGTTGTTCCCACGGGACTGAGGTGAATGGGCAGCAGTCGGGGCAAGCTCTTGCCTTCCTGCACCCCTTTATGAACTCTTCTGACCTTTGTGCTTCTACACTTCCACTTTTTCACTACCCAGCCTGGGAAGTACCTGCCCCCAAATTATCACTCAGTCATACAAAGCGCACGCTCGGGCACGCACACACGCCCCCTTGGGGGAGTGGCACGTGCCTTGGTCTCAGAAATTCGGTCCAGTCTTTTAAGCTAACCTTGGGACCAACGGTTTCCTTTCAGTTTACTCAGTGTAAAGCAGGTCTACCGCCCACAGAGACACCGTGCAGCGGGAGCTGCCTGGTACGCCGCGGCGCTAGGACCCAGATCCGGGTCGGGGAGTGAGCATGCCGGCGCTAGGACCCGCTGGCGGGGCAGCGCAGGGCGGTGCTCCCTCGGCCTCAACTTCCCCGCCCCCTCCGGCTTCGGCTCACTCCTCCCCCGCCGGCCATGTTGGCTCTGCTTGGGCCCCGCGGTTGAGCCGCGTCCCCCTTCCCCCTCCCGGACCCCAGACCCCTCTCCGTCGCGACCTCCTCCCCTCCTGACGCCCGGAGGCCATGTGAGCCGCCGGTCCCCTGGGGACAGACAAGCCCCGAGCCTGGCTGGACACCGCCGCCTCAGGTCTGTGGAGTCTGTGGCTGGGGGCTGAGGGGAGCGAGCCCCGCTCTCGTCCCCAGGCTTCCCTCCGGGAACAGAACCTCGGAGCCTCCGTGCAGTTAGGAGCCCCGGGCGAGGTTCTTGCCCCAGGGTCGTCGGAGAAGAGGGCTGGCGGGTCTGCTGCAGAGCCCGGGGGGGCGGCGGGGGCGGCCGCGGCGCAGCAGCCGCCCGCTTGGGGAAGTCTCCGGTAGGACCGCGGACGGAATCCCCGGGGGACTCACCTCTTCGCGTGGGGGTGGGGATCACGCGAGTGCGGGGCGTGCGGAGGGGGTTCCCTGGGCGGGTTAGATACCTTGTTTGTGGGGTTTGGGCTGCGCTGAGTGGAAGCTAGAAGGGGTTCCCGGGGGTCTCGCGGGGGCAGGGGGTCGTAAGTTCTCTTGAGCGTGACCCGCGGAGAGCGCCTTGCTGGAATATTGCTGTGCTTGGCTTGGGGCCCTCGAGTTCCGGGAAAATTCCTCACTCCAGGGTTGGGGGTTGATAGGGCTGAAGATGGGGCGTCCGGCTTTGAGCTGGTCTTAGGCACTGAAGGGAAGAAGAGGGATCCCCCTCCCTTTCCAAGGAGGATCCCTCACTAAAGGGATCCCCATTTCCGTGGCTAAAAAGATGGTCCCGCGTCATTCCTTTCTTTCCTGATGTTCCCAATTTTCAGGGGAACGCAATGTTAATAGCAGTCATTCTTTGTAGGATTTATTGGAGTGAGAGATTTGCATCCTTCGGGGGGCGATGAGGGGATAGTTTCCACCTTCATCTGTGCACAAACAGCCCCTCCCCCAAGCCTCCCGCAGGAAGTGGCCGGGAAATGGCAGCTGTGCGTTTGCTGCTGCGTCTCTTATTTTGAAATGTCCATTTTAATCAGATTTGGTTTCATTTTGTGAGGCCTTCTGGGCAGCTTAGATCCTGCCAACTGTGTGGTCTAAGAGTCCTTTCGTTCGACTTCTTTTTTTTTTTTTGTAAACTTAATTTGTCAACTGGAAGTAGTCAACTGCAGTTGACTCACTGATCCTGATCCCCACTCTAGAGCATCTCTTGTCTCCCTGTCTGGATTTTTTTCCCCTTGAGCTAGAGGTCATAGAGAAGCAAACTCAGTCGTCCACCAGCAGGGCTACATTTTTTTATTTTATTTTATTTTATTTTATTTTATTTTATTTTATTTTATTTTTATTTTGGTATCACTAATATATAATTACATGAGCAACATTGTGGTTACGAGATTCACCCCATTATCAAGTCCCCACCACATACCCCATTATAGTCACTGTCCATCAGCATAGTAAAATGCTAGGGTTACATTTTAAATACAAGTAATGCAAATTCCATCAGCATAGAGAGCTACCAGGAACACTTGGAACCTTTTGTGGCTTTCGGGGATCCTGCTTAAGGGGATCCATATTTACTCTGAAGTATGACAGTTTCTGTATTGCAGAGCACCTGAACAAGTAAGTTTGTGAGGTGAAGGGTAAACTGACAGGCACAGAAGAGGAAGGCATGGGGAAGATAAGAGTGTGGTTGGATTTCTGTGTTGTGGTGGGGGCTGGCTTGCAGGTCCTCACTGAAGATTCTAGCCTAAGGATAGTCACTGTGGGAAGCCTGCTGATGACCTAGGGTGCTGGAGGGTTTACCTTCTGTATAATCAATTAGGAGAGTTAGCTGTCATATAACTCACTCCTCAGTCCATAACAAATACCTTCTCTAGTACCCTTCTTGGAGAATGGTAAGCTTTTTCTCCCGTTTGTGCGAAGTCATGTGCCCAGATTTTCTCTTTCTCCCACCTGGTAACTACAGGAGATTTCTATAGCATACAGTGGTTGTACTCTGTGCCCAAGCACTTTGTAGGACACTGGATTTGGTTAGAGATGAGTCAGCCAGAGGATTTCATATTCTGAGGAATAAGTATTGAGATCATTTAGACTATATTGAAAACTGCTTAAGCCTGACACACAATTTTTTCAATATTTTCCAGTCACAAACCTCTGACTTGAATTGTAGATTGCTAGATTAAAGATCCAGAGTAAGAGTCTGTGTGTACAAGTATGTAGCATCACTGTTAAGAAACACCATTGCTCTTCTTACTGGGGTGTGGGATGATGTTCTGGAGGTAGTAGAAACAAGTCCAGCGTCATTGTTGCTTTGCTTGCCCCTCAGCTTGATTATTGGGTCCTTTGAGTTACTTTCCAATAGGGTTGATTTGACATTGATTTTAAGTTCCCCTTTCTTCAACCTTTGTTTACCTAAATTGGAACCCGACAGTATAATAAATTAACTTTCCCGGTTGGGGGTTAAAATAGTAAAGACAGGGGAAAGACCCTTTTTTTTTCTTTGAATTGTTTTAAAGAAATAGAAATTGATCTTGAGAAAGTAGATATTGACTTCATTTGATACATTAATAGAAATGAAGCAAACCTTTCATAGTCTTCTTATAAAATGGATGTATTTTCTATCAGAATAAGTAGATTTCTTTGTTGACTTTTTTTCTTTCTCTTCCTAAAGGAAGAAATTTGAGGTATACAGAGAACTACATGGGCTGATGTCAGAGCCAGTCAGGAATCTAGAAATGCCCTGAGAGACCTATCTAGCAGCTCTGTGGCTCAGGAACCAGAGGGTTGGAGTGGGGGTGCTTTGTCCTGCTGCTGTGGGCCTTTATTGTCACCTCTAAAGAGGCCTGCTATATTCTTTTTTCTTAATTAAGGTATTGATACACAGTCTTAGGAAGGTTTCGCATGCTGCTATATTCTTTTACCATTAAAATGGCACTGGAGTTAGTCCAAAAGCTGGTGTGATGTTTGACCTTGTATAAAATGTGTGCAGTGCAATAATGCCAGAGTTTTTAAGTTCTAGTATATAGAGTGAAGTAAGTATAAAACTTGAGATATTTCCTGGGGCAGATAATCTGTTTCTTGGGATATGGATGTCCTCATA